CAAAACATGTCATCAATCGTGGCGTGATAGCGTGACTTCAATGTAGTGTGACTTTGATTCCAAGGCATCATGGACCGGTTTGGCCTTGTTGTCACGCACAAGCAATAGACTTCGGTGTCAATGTACAGGACCTTTTTTAATCTGAACTAAATTTTGTTCCTGTTATTTTATTTTGCAGGTTCACCAGGCTTTCGCAGCCTGGAAGTTTACGAAGGGGAAACTGAATGTGTTGTAATTATACCTTGCTTGATGCTGAGATAAATAAAACGCATTTTATCTAAAATAAGTCTCAATATAATTAATTATAATCTTCGGGGTTTACACATTGTTTCACTGGCAATCGATAATCCCAAAGAGAGAGAGATCATCATGATACTAGACATACAAGCTTCGTTCATTTTCCGCTCAACATTGGTTACAGAATTACATTATGATGCGCGCCAACATTTTTACCAAGTTTCTTCTCGGTGTTTCAAAAGGAAGTTTTATAAAGCAAAATCCACATTAGAATACATATTTAGCAACCAATGTATCAGTTAAACAAAGTATTCCGAATTCACTTTGTTGGAAATAAGATAAAAGAATTGCAAGGCAAACCATATTTCCTCATCTCCTTACCCGAAAGGCGCTGCATCAAAACAGCTCTCTAACCTTAGAAAATTAATTCTCTATCTTTTGCGGTCAGTTCTTTCGAAGCTACTTCAGTGCTGTTTCCGGCCTGCATAAATGGACTGTTTGGCATGCGAACGTATCATGTTCAGATAACAAATCTGTAAAAACTCAGGCTTTCAATAATCACGACTTCAACTTGATCTTCAGTAATAATGCAGAGAGAGAGTGAGAGATTTTTTATTACCTTTTTCAACACACAAGTATGCATGTGCTGGGATTAAAATCAAATTCTGCCCGGTATTGTACAACCAGTAAGTTCTGACACCTGTCAGAAGGGGTCAAAAGCGGCAATCTGTTGGTCTCATATTTCGAAAGTCGTTGATAGTCGCAACCGAATTTAGGCGTAAAACAGAAACACGTATACATAGAGTCTATATCGAGTTCCGCAATCAGTTCTCACAGAATTTACAAAGTCACTGTACAGTAACAACTCCCACGTTGAAGAAATGGCCGCTGTATTGTTCAGGATTGCTTTAATATCGCTTATTCCCGGAGGTATTTCAGATTTTAGTTTTTAATTTACTTACATTCATGATTTGTTCTCTAATAGCCAAACCTAAGCGGGGTCGCGCCTTCACTCAGGTTTACTTTCCTTTTGATTAACAGAGATTGAATTGATTTACGTTTAAGAGACTATCTCTTAATTCATCT